AACGCGTTTAAACGCGCCTGGGAAAAACGCGTTTAAACGCTAGCAAATGGTGCATTTTCGGAGCGATTAAACGCAGCATAAAACGCGTTTTCAGACGCGTCTACGATCGAAAAATATTTACATGGGAAAGGGTTTCTATTTAGTAGATTATTTTGGTGGTATTAATCTCCCATCTTCGACCATTCTTGTTAAAATCCTCCTTTCCAATCCATCTGGGAAAACATATAGAGAGCTGATCTATCGGTACCATTGAGCGTTGATATATTAGCTCTAATCAATAATGATTCTTTTACTAGTAGATGATATTTATGCTGTTCGGACAGTAAAATTCTAAAATCATTCCTTGTTATCATATGTCCTCTATTTTGAAAGTGCTTAGCTATGGCTGTTGTTGCTACTGGAGACTTTGTTTCTTGATTCTTTGTCATATTCTCCATTAAAAATCCCCCAAATTCTTCGTCTTGAACTTTTTTAATAGAAGGAGGTAGTTTATTGGTTTGAAATCTCGTTACAGGTCCTATCCGACGGGAAAGACGATGAGTTGGCTGAATTTGTATCGATATTGTTTTAGATTTGAATTGATTTGTTTTTGTTTTAACTTGAATACCAGTGATCTTTTCTTGATAATCCATATGATCACCTACACTAGTGATGAAGTGTCGGCTAGTTTTGCTATGTAAGAGTTCTTGAGGGCAGGTCGTTTCATATACTGGACCTGACTTTAAACCATCTGGTATTCTATCCTTTATACTTAAACCATCACCAATTTTCTTCGTGACATCGTAAATAATACGAACATCTTCTTGTGGATAAACTTTCTTAACTGCTGCTGTTATTCTCTTAGCATAAACTTGACTACATTGGCCAAAATATGGTATACGAAATATTATGTTTTCTTTAGTTGAAGCATCGTTCTTTTTGTTTGATCGGGGGGGTGTATGCATGGATGAAATGGTCTCGAATAATTTTCTCAACAAAATTTAATGGATAACGATCTTCTCTAGCTAATACTTGTATGATGTCGAGTTTATTGTGTAATATCTGGTACGTTGAACTGACGTTGAAAGCACGATAAATCATGGTTGAAATGGCATTGTGTTTATACCTTTTGGGTATAAAACTCAGCCAATTAGTCATCAATCCTGTGAAACTCGGTTCTCGTTATACACTATTAGTATCATATCACCGATAGGTGAAATTTTTAAATAGAACTAGAGTCAATGAAAACTACATTTTCGGATAGAGGATGGTCGATTGCATATGTATCCACCAAAACTGGCTCGGGGTACTGTCAGTCGGGAAGCAAAATTTTTTTTGGAAAGTTTCCAAGGGAAAGAAAAAAAAGGAAGCAAAAAATATAGCGACTCGAGCAGGAATTGAACCCACGCC